CACACCTCTCTTCCTGCTACTGACAACTTCCTGTTCGTTGTGAACTTATTCATTGGGCAGCCACCTATCTCTCAATTCACTGCCATGGACATAGAAATTGAAGCAGCCTTCTATGGGTTTAATTACTGCCTCCCTTGCAAGCAATGTGCCCAACACTATTTCCCAGTATTTGACCCTACAACATCCTCCACTTTTGCTTACATGCCATGCAATTCTGAGTATTGTTCCCGACGCCGCACTTGTGATTCATTCAACCAATGTACATTACAGAAAGAGGTACGTCGAAGGCCCTCCCTCAACTGGAACCCTGGCCACTGAGCAGAAGTTACATTTGATGAGACATCAGACGAAAGGAATACTCACTGTACCCAATGTAGAATTCGGGTGCGGTCACAACAATGGAAACTTCACCGATCACCGCATAAGTGGCATGTTGGGAGTTGGCTATAGAACAATATCATTGGTTAGACATTTGGGTTCGAGGTTCTCTTATTGCATAGACACTATATTTGACACTAATTATAGTCACAAGAAGTTTCTAGGCAATATTGGACCTAAGATGGAGCGGGATTCAACACCTCTAGAAGTGATTAATGGTCGTTGCTACGTTGAATTGCAAGGCATTAGCATAGGAGAAAAGTGGCTTGACATTCATCCAAGCGTATTCAGGGGGACATCAAAGGAAAGAAGTGGGGTAGTAATTGATTCGGGCTTTCCTGCAACCTGGCTAGTCAAGGAAGCGTACAAGACACATCGAGAAGTTCAGAACCTGTGAGATGTATGGCTGAAAAAACTTTCATCTGGGGCATGGCAGTTGTTTTACCAGGGAAAATTGAGTCTAGACCTCATTGAATTTCCAGTGGTAAATTATACAAAGGGGAATTTATTCCGAAGTTATACAAAGGGAACGCTCAAATTATTTAAGCTTTGTTTATTATAATCGTAACTTTTGGTTTTTGATAACTGAGTGGATTCTGGTGGATTTTTTGAAAATTTTAAAGGTCTTACTTTTATAATTTTTTTTGTTATATTTGACGTTAGTCACTTAGTAGCAAAGGATTTTAACTCTTTGACTTTAATCACAAATTTAGTTTTAAAATTTTTATCTTAATTACAAATTAAGATTTGAATGTCAATAAATATCAACTCAACTAAGTTTTTATTAGTCTTCTTGTTATTATAATAGTAGGTTAACGGATATCCATTAAAAGTGTGCTAAAAGAAGTAGGACTATAGATGGCTCGTTTAATGACTAATAAAAAAAATTAACACCTCAATATGTATTATAGATGCAACCTTGGGTAGACTACCAAAACGATACATGATCACAGTTAGATTTGAAGTTTGTTACTATGAGACGTGTAATTCGTAGCATACGTGGCATCATTAGATTGGGTGTTATTTAGGATGTAAACAAAAACTTTTGGAGGAATTCTTTGGGAGCTCTTAAAGAGTTCTTTTGGACCCTTCTGAAGCACTCTTAGAGGCCAAATTAAAGCCCATAAGAATTCATTAACAATAAAAGAACAAAGAAATTCACATTCTCAAATTGGATTTTTTTTTTTTGTTTAAGTTTTACTCTTTATTTTGTTATGGATTTTTTTGGTTATAATTAAGACTTCAAATTCTATTATTATTTTTATTATAACCTAAGGCTACAATGTAACTTAATTAAATTAATATAGATTTTTATGATTTTCATGTCTTTGGGATCGCCATTTCATGACAATAATATATTATTGTTCTTAATATTTATTAATATTTGATTACCATTAAAATTGATATAGAGTACAACTTAGATTTGGAAAAAAATTTATACAATAGTTTGAATACTATATACTATAAATTGAACAAAATTTAGAGATGGATCAACATGATTTATGCAAAATTAGTAATAAGTGGACTTTAAAATTATCATATAAATATAATGTATTTTTATTTATTCAAATTCTCATAAAAATATATTTGTTTAATAAGTGAAAATATGTTTGGTACTTAAGAAATATATTGAATAAGATAAAAAAGCTGTTATCACATTAATACTAAATATCTAGAAAACATAATAATATAAAATTTATATTAATTAATTATCATAAAGTCAATACTTTAACAACTTATACTTTAGTAAATTTTACTTTGAATTATTATTATTTTTAATTAGTTTTAATTAAAAATTTTTAAATTTTATCTATTTAAATAATTCTAAAATTATTTATTTTTAGTATTTAGTTAGTCATGATCTTTGTGAGAATGAGACTCT